TACGATTGACTACCAGGTAGATTTGGATAGGAAGAAATCTTACAAAGAACTTTCTGAGGAGGAGCAAATTAAAATCCAACAGGTCCTTTTCATAACAGACAAGTTCTGCATTGGGGAGGCTGCCTACCACGAGTTAACGATGACGGATGGAGGAACAGAGTTACCTCGCTCCTACCTGTTGAAGCAATGTAAGACACAACTGAATAGTCTTTGTCACATTAAAAGAACACCGGGAGAAGATGAAGGAGCTCAACTGGATCTTCTGCCTGAATTAAAAAATACAATTGCAAAACAGGTAATCTCCATGTATTTTTTGCACACAAGTTGATCATTCTGTGATGTTTGATTGAGGATTTTGATTGATTTATTTTAGATTGATCTGACAAAATTTCAAGAAAATCTCAATTGCAAATTAAGAATTAAGATCAGTGGAGATGGGGCTAAAATGTCCAGAATTACAAGCTTTGTCATTATGTCCTTCTCATTGCTTGACTCGGATGATGTAATGTCTTCTAAAGGTAATTATTGTTTACAAGAGATCTAAGTTAGAATGTAAGATGTTGTTTAGCTATAGCTACAGTAATGCCATATTGGCTGATCAATAAAATTGGGAATATTATACATTATTGTCTATTTTCTAACTATTAGTAGAATTATTAGTTGTAGTCTTACCCGGTGGCAGATCAACATGTGTGGAGCCCCGGGCACATTTTAAGGTAACCCCCACCCCGCCGGAAAAAGAGGTATCATGAAATGTAACAACTCACAAAAGGAAAATATACAAAGATTGTAATGTCATTCTACAACTCTACTCCACTCAAAATCAGGTGTCAAATGTCAATGATCTATTTTCAATTATTATCACACTTTACATTTCTAATTAAACACTGGTCTATGCGGGGGCTCCAAAAGTGCTGGGCCCTGGCATCCCCCCCCCCAGTCCATTACTGATGTTACCTCTGTCGATCCTCAATGGCTTAGTGACAAATTTGAATAGCAACATCGAACAACAGTTTTAAAATTATTATGCACATGTCATATTTAATAGGTAGTCACACAGTTGCTGTGGTTAAAGGGCATGAGAGTTATAATCTTTTGAAGACTTCATTTGCTGATTTGCTTAAAACAGTCAATGCCATAGCTAAAGATGGTAAAATCTCTGTGAATGGACTTGATATCCCCATTGATGTTTTGCTTGGTGGTGACTATAAGGTATACACTATACATGTTAACTTTACATCATGGTGATTTTCAATATGGGTTGATAAATCTCTGACAATTACACTTGACGTTTGATCCCCTCCATGAAATCAGGTGTACATGTTAACCAATGGTTAATCGGGTAGCTCAAATGATCAAGTGAGCCTGAAGTGTACCCAGATGTAATCATCTGTTATGTAATTTACAAATACATACTCTTTTGTAATAGACTTACATTTGCCCATTGACTAAAACACCACTATAGCAGCAATTATGAATTGAGTGATGCATATATATACTGTACTTATCTTATAAATTTATAGTTCCTTTTGTTACTTCTTGGCATGAAGGGTGCGACATCGGATCATGCCTGTATTTGGTGTACTGTACACAAGGGAAACAGGTAAGCTTAATAGGTTTACAATTAACAATTTGATTAGTGTGTGTAATGCACATTAACCGCATACTACTTTAATTAACAATGTGATAGGTATGTGGCTCATAATTATCAAGGCACAGAACCAGAGTGTTTACTTTCTGGCATTTTAGATTTGATATGTCAAAACCAGAAGACTATTATAGTACTGGTGACATGAGCAGAACATTAGAACAGATCAAGGAGAGTGCCTTGCAAATGAAATTATCTTGTGTCCACCAACCGTTGCTGAATATCCCATTACAAAATATTGTTCTTGATGAGCTTCATTTGATGCTCAGGATTACAGGTTTGTATTACTTTAATTTATTAATAGATTGATCAATAACATATGTATACGGTACATGTACCACATTTTCCCTCTTTGCCTTACCTATAGATATCTTGATCAGGAACCTAATGAATGAAGCATTAACTTGGGACAAGGCAGACAATTATAAAAAACGTCCATGTGAAAGATCAAGCTTGCATGTTGATTCGCTAGTATCTGCCATCAATAGCTGTGGAGTAAGCTTTGCAATATGGGAGAAAAAAGATGCCAATGGCAAAGGCAGTGGGACACATGACTTTACCAGTCTGATGGGTGGTGATAAGAAGAAGCTTCTGAAGGATCTCCCTGACAAGTTACTGGGTGTGATTAAGGCAGACACAAGTGCAACAGTGATAAAAATTTGGAAGGTTTGTTGTTGTACATAAATTCCTAGAATAATTTAGAATAACAAAGATTTCTTACAGTAAGATTAATAATTAACTAATACAGTATTTTCAATTGAAAATAAGACACTATATATATGTATACAGAACTACAGGTACATAATATACAGTACATCAAAGAGTTTAATAATTATTAATAGAATAATTACCTTTAATTATTCTAATTATTATTATTATTATTATTGAACTCTTATTATAATTTTATATATATCTGAAATCGGACTATTTTATGAAAATTTCAGGATTTCAATGAGCTATACCAAATGCTGGCAAAACAAAACCCCTCTGATGACTATGTTACAAGCTACTTTGAAAAGGTTTGTGTTTTAGACAGAGAAAGTTTGACCATGTCAACAACTCACTCTAACTACTGTACACCGAAGTTTGACCATGTACACATGTTTAAACATGATTTTTGCAGGCAACATCTTGGGTGAACCTCTTTACTTCACTTGGGGGAGCTTGCGAAGGTTATCGCAAAGAAAATGTCACTCCATACATGCACGCAATGGTCTACCACGTCCCCTACTTTATGAGGATGCACAGAGGTATAAAGAGATTTACAGGACAAGGTAATTTATTATTTACTGTACATAACATAGAGTCTTTCATCAAATTAATTCAGAGGTTATAATTACAAAACACAATTACACAAATAACTATACAATGTACTTAAGGTACTGAAAAGAATAACGATGACTGTCGCCGGATTCACTTGACTAAGTCTAACAAGTGGGATGCCACTGGAGATGTTCTCCTTGTGATAAAAAGAGTAGAAGCCACTTCAGAGCATCAGCGAATAACAAGATCATACATAAAGAAAAAAGCTCAATACTGGGATCATGAAATACTGGAGAAGAAAGCCAAGCACAAAGAAATGAGAATGGAAAACTCTCCACAAAGTGAAATAAGTATTAGTGAAAACGATACAGATCAAATCAATACAGAGCAAATGTCCCCAGCAGAGCTTAGGGAAGAGTTAAAATCTTTAGGCATTGTTACTCGAGTAAGAAAGTTAAGTCGCCTTCAAGAAATGTATCGTGATGCCTTAAAACAAGTGGAGTAAAACAACTGGCAGACTATCCCTACAGATATGGTCATAGGCTACTAATTATACTGTAGATACATGTAGCAACAATATTTAGTGATTTTCAGACAAAGAAGTGTATTCTTTATTTACAAGTTATACATATTGCATGGACGTTTAAGTAAGTCAACACACAATTTCTCAATTGGTAGTCGAGGTGCTTTGCACAATTTGTTGTGCTCCATAATTTGTTTCATTGGGGACCAACTTAATATTGGTTTTATTTTTATGGGAGGTTGTATAGCATGCCCCTCGCCATGCTCATTGAGCTGATACCACCAATGTTCTGGTAAGGCCAAACGAGTCAGGTCTTGGATAGAGTAGAGGGTAAATCCTTTATGGTCGCACTCGTCCCCTCTACCTCTTGAGCAGTATCGCCAGATGTCTAAATCCATAGACACATATACTGCTAATAATGATCTTGATTTCAAACCAGATGAGATGCTGTTGTAAAATTCTCGACTGGCGTGATGTAATCTTTGATCACTTGGTTTTGGTGGGTTTTCATATCCTCTAAAAAGTATTTAAAATATATTTTCAATGATGCCAGACAAGTACATACAAGTATATTACTATACACCATATATTTAGTGATCTATTCAGGTGCAATGATGTAAATGGTTTGCCTTAGCTTAAAGGGAGGTTACGGCAGCTTCTGCGCATCGGTTCTGCTCATAACGGAGGACTCCGCGATTTGAAAATTGCCCGAATTACACATATTTTGAATTTTTCTGAACATAAACGCTTGCTCATATTCATTTACAACTATAGCGAACCAAAATAGTGTTAAATATTCTGCCAGTACATGATATTTTTAAAAATCTAGCAGTTCAAAATGTAAACAAAGCGTTTGTTTACATTACGACTGTAACCCCCCTTTAAGAGTGTTTTCATGTTATGTATATACAAAACATATTACTTTATACTATTTATACTAGTGTATATAATAATAAATGACAATTACAATTATACCTTATCAGCTGTTCATTCAGATGGTTTTCAGGTTCCCATGTACAATTATCAATTGTCCAACCGTCCCATTTGATTAGATATTCATTATTCTAAAAAAATACGGAGCAGACATTGCTTTAACAACAAATATTAGGCCTATGTAATTTCCAATTAATTAGCGTATTTTATATTGAGTTGATTTGACACTTACATTGTTCATTCTTCGTCGATAAATAATCCTCTCAACCGTATAAATATCAGGAAGAGTCTTCCTTGGTCTTTTAGGCGCCGTATTGTTGTATAAAACAACAGACGAATAATTGTTTAACTGTGCGTAGTCCACGCGTTGAAGATTTCTTGTCGCCATGTTGAAATTTGAAACAGTTGATTTGGTTATCTCTTACATAGAGTTCACAGGGTTATCTGGAAACGCCACTGTACAAAATGTTTTACACATGACCGCAATAGTTGGCCATGACTCACTAAACCCCACACCCTGTTTTACATTAAAACAACCTTTATGGATAATTGTTGCAAATCAGCAATTATGAACACCAATTACCTATATTCAAACATACAAACATAAATATTATCATTATGCAGTAGTTTTCTTTATTCTGGCATTGTTATGTTTTGTTTTAGAAACAAAAATGCATTCTGAATGTCTTTAGGGGCAACATCTTCTGGTTGAGGAATTACTCTCTCACAGGCCTGTCTGAACTCAGGTTCCAAGAAATCGTCATTTATATCCAACACGCCAGACTCATTTCCAACTTCTTGTAGTTGTTCTTCTGAAACAACCCAACCTAAAGTGGACAGGGGACTATTTAAAAATAAAAATCAATCTTGGTTTGTACACATACCCCTTCAAGCAAAGGGCTTTTGCTGGAAACATTAATTTTTATTCCTGTTTCATACATAATGTAATATGTAACCTAATATTTATTTAAATAGGAAACAATTACACCACCTTGCTTGCAAGAGACTATTTTTATACACATTGTATTTTCCCCCTTATTCACCAAATGAAAAATATGAAGCCCCTACCAAGAATGAGTAACGGTAATGGGCTGAATTTTGCATTGCTATCCTAGGGATTTTTGCTCTGGCTATGCCAGTGGAAAAGGGAATCTCAATGATACTGCTAATTTTTGTTAATTTATTAAATTTGACTTACCACATTCCTCCATCTCATACTCCTGGGGAAAACCATACATATGATTTGGAATTCCTGCAGGTAATTCTGCATCTTTCTGTTTCTGGATGCGGTGTGTGTTCCAAATTGTGTCTTTAAATATGTCTAGCTGTTTCTGCATTAGGGGGATCATGAGAATGGCCAGAAGCATCCTGGGAAAGAAAATTAGTTCTAATAAATTTAATACAAAATATAATGTGATAAACATACTGTATATGGTAACAAAGTGACATCAGGGGTTCTTTCACCTGTGAGTGTCATTTTCTGGATTATAGTGGCCATCATTTTTTAGAACCAGTAAATGAACCTTGAAATATTTTTCAAGCCTCTCATGCAGTTCTTTCCACCACCGCTCAATCTAAGAAACAGTCATACAATAAGTTTTGTAGAAACACATAGCTTCGCAGAAACTAGAAAGGTTACACACATCCCATTCTCACAACACATGGATCGTTATATTTTTCAAAAATGGATCATAGGAACTTTGCCTAAATTTCGGTAATTCCCTGTCAACCACCCTACCCCAGCCATCAACATGGGGGCGGGGGGCTGTCATTGCAGACATCATTTTGAAACTTTATACGAGTCAGCCAAGTATAATTTCAATAATTATAGTGTCTGTCAAAGTAATGAATGATTAAAATAACGTTCAAATTTTATGCTGAAAAATATTTGGCTACCGATAAATCATCCCAGGGTGTATGGGGTGATGATATTAAATGGATCAATAGCCCATTATTTGGTGATAGACACTCACTTGATTAGACGTGGATGGTCCATACAGCACAGTGTCGCATGCATCTTCATCCCCATGGTTTCTTCTAAGGAAAGCATGCATAGTTGCCATCACTCCGGTCTCTGTCCCTTTGTCCAACCTCATAAAAGAGGAAATCAACGGTGACTCGTATAAATATTCCAAATACCAGCGGCCTATGAACTTAGGATCCGAATTGGTCACCCATATTCGCAACCATAGCAACTTTCTGGTTGCAGTGTCGATACAGCCATATACCGCCAATGGGAAAGTGCTGTTCTGATAGCCCATGAGCTTGTCATGGCCATCGAGTGAATGGACCCAGTTTGGGCCTTTGGTGGTGAAATGTCCTTTTTGTTTCTTTTTCTTAAATCCTGGAGCTCGATTATCCAAGCCTTCAGGATCAATATCGTACATTGCAGCGTGCACAAGATCTCTTGGAACCCTTAGATGACAATCTTGTCTGATCTTATGTAATGCACGGTAACCAAGTAGTTTTCCTGGACCATCAAGTTCTTCTGCTACTGCATTTCTCAGGGTTTCTACGGTCACGTATTTATCTTGATAATAGATATCAAAGTGACGAAGTCGTCTATCTAATGTGCGTATACTCCACGTATACTGCGGGAAATTTCTCTCAACAAAACTTATTATCTCTGTTCTTTTCAAACCCTGCTCAACAAAGCTTAAAAGGGAGCTCTTTAGTTCGTTGTCTTCTTGCCATGAACACAACGCCATTACGCCCATTCGCAGGTTGTAAAGCCTCGATGATATACCCGCAAATCTAACAAACACCTGTCGCACCCTGATATTGGGCTACCTGCAATGGCAGCGCTCGGCCAAGAACATTTTAAATTTACTTTTCATTTCATTTTAAATTTGATTTGTTTTTCATTTGGGTTTGATTTTTAATTTCATTTTAAAATTAAAAATATTTTCATTGATTTTTTATTTGAATTTCAATTGAACTTCCAATTAGCTTTTATTTTGATTTTAATTTACAATATTTTTACTTCAAAATAGTTTTTTAGACTCAAAAAAATGTAAAAAATGCGATGGCAGCGCTCGGCCACCATACACGTACACATACAGCACTCATATCGTTATAAAACAGGTTGTCAAACATGAAAGAATAAGATATAAATGCCGACCTTAAAACCTTTTATGGGTATATGTACATATACACACATATATACACACATATATAGGTTATATCGTTATGTTTCGCGCACGAATATATGAATATTACGTAATCAGCTATATATTATATGACGTCATATAAACTTCACTGGTATTATATTATAGCTCTATATATACGTATGCATCATAAACGTTATTGACGATATGTGCGTTATAGGCGTTATTGGTGTTATAGACGTATTGGCGTTATTGGTGTTATAGGCGTTATTGGTGTTATGAGCGTTATTGGTGTTATTGGCGTTATTTGCGTTGTTGGTGTGATTGACGTTATTGGTGTTATAGGCGTTATTGGCGTTATAGGTGTTATTGGCGTTATAGGCGTTATTGGTGTTATGAGCGTTATTGGTGTTATTGGTGTTATTGGCGTTATTTGCGTTATTGGTGTTATGAGCGTTATTGGCGTTATTTGCGTTGTTGGTGTTATTGACGTTATTGGTGTTATAGGCGTTGTTGGTGTTATAGGCGTTATTGGTGTTATTGGCGTTATTGGTGTTATTGGCGTTATTGGTGTTATTGGCGTTATAGGTGTTATTGGCGTTATTGGTGTTATTGGCGTTATAGGCGTTTTAGGCGTTATTGGTGTTATGAGCGTTATTGGTGTTATTGGCGTTATTTGCGTTGTTGGTGTTATTGACTTTATTGGTGTTATAGGCGTTATTGGTGTTATTGGTGTTATTGGCGTTATAGGTGTTATTGGCGTTATAGGCGTTATTGGTGTTATGAGCGTTATTGGTGTTATGAGCGTTATTGGTGTTATTGGCGTTATAGGCGTTATAGGCGTTATTTGCGTTATTGGTGTTATGAGCGTTATTGGTGTTATTGGCGTTATTTGCGTTGTTGGTGTTATTGACGTTATTGGTGTTATAGGCGTTATTGGTGTTATTGGCGTTATAGGTGTTATTGGCGTTATTGGTGTTATGAGCGTTACTGGTGTTATTGGCGTTATTGGCGTTATAGGCATTATAGGCGTTATTGGCGTTATTTGCGTTATTGGTGTTATGAGCGTTATTGGTGTTATTGGTGTTATTTGCGTTGTTGGTGTTATTGACGTTATTGGTGTTATAGGCGTTATTGGTGTTATTGGCGTTATTGGCGTTATTGGTGTTATTGGCGTTATTGGTGTTATAGGCGTTATTGGTGTTATGAGCGTTATTGGTGTTATTGGCGTTATTGGCGTTGTTTAGGCGTTATTGGCGTTATTGGTGTTATGAGCGTTATTGGTGTTATTGGCGTTATTGGCGTTTTAGGCGTAATTTGCGTTATTGGTGTTATGAGCGTTATTGGTGTTATTGGCGTTATTGGCGTTATTTGCGTTGTTGGTGTTATGACGTTATTGGTGTTATAGGCGTTATTAGTGTTATTGGTGTTATTGGCATTATAGGTGTTATTGGCGTTATTGGTGTTATGAGCGTTATTGGTGTTATTGGCGTTATTGGCGTTATAGGCGTTATTTGCGTTATTGGTGTTATGAGCGTTATTGGTGTTATTTGCGTTGTTGGTGTTATTGACGTTTTTGGTGTTATAGGCGTTATTGGTGTTATTGGCGTTATAGGCGTTATTGGTGTTATTGGCGTTATAGGCGTTATTGGTGTTATTGGCGTTATAGGTGTTATTGGCGTTATAGGCGTTATTGGTGTTATGAGCGTTATTGGCGTTATAGGCGTTATTGGCGTTATTGGCGTTATTGGTGTTATGAGTGTTATTGGTGTTATTGGCGTTATTTGCGTTGTTGGTGTTATTGACGTTATAGGCGTTATTGGTGTTATTGGCGTTATAGGAGTTATTGGCGTTATAGGCGTTATTGGTGTTATGAGCGTTATTGGCGTTATAAGCGTTTTAGGCGTTATAGGCGTTATTTGCGTTATTGGTGTTATGAGCGTTATTGGTGTTATTGGCGTTATAGGCGTTATTGGTGTTATGAGCGTTATTGGTGTTATTGGCGTTATAGGCGTTTTAGGCGTTATAGGTGTTATTTGCGTTATAGGCGTTATTGGTGTTATAGGCGTTGTTGGTGTTATTGGCGTTATAGGCGTTATTGGTGTTATGAGCGTTATTGGTGTTATTGGCGTTATTGGCATTATTTGCGTTATTGGTGTTATGAGCGTTATTGGTGTTATTGGCGTTATTAGTGTTATTGATGTTATTGGTGTTATTGGCGTTATGGCGTTATTGGTGTTTTCGGTGTTTTTGCGTTCGGGGTTTTTGTTCTCTTTAAGGGGCAGTATATTTAGAGAGTGTTACAGACCCGCATTTGCGTTTGGTTGGTTAAGCTAAATAATCACAAAATCGTACTCGGTTTTTCACTGTATATGCATATGATCAAAAATGTTAAATAAGGCCGCAGTTCTGTTCGTGAGGTAAGTTTCCTAGCTTTATATATTTCCTATGATATAAGACGTAGCTAGGATGATCGTCGAGCGTGTCTGTTTATGATACGACCCTGAACTGCTACCTTAGATTATTAATTAAATAAAACTTCCCCAGAGTAGACCTATTTGTACCTTTCATAATACCAATTATTAACATGGATATGTCAAATATGTTAGGTAACTTATGTTACATCGCGGGGTGGTAGTAAATCTTAGTCGGAAAGTGTTGCGGAAATTATCAGTTTTCTGAGCTTAACACGACACTTAGATGCATTCCATACAAAGTGTCAGAGGCTCTAATGGTTTTCAAAATTTGACGTTATCCTGCAGCTTTAGGGGTAAAACGTAATTTAAAATCACAAACTTTTACAATTTCGGTTTAAATTTCTTTCAGTTATATCGTGCTACTCTGTGTAAATGCACCTCAAGCGATTACACTAAGTAATGTCATGAAAAATATATTGGAAAGAGCAACTGAACAATTTGAACAAAATATAAAGTTGCGGAACGAAGGAATGATGGTAGACCTTGGACCAGTTACCATTATGCGTCATGGACAATACGACAAAACAAAAGCCTTAACCTGGGATGTATATATAACTTATCCCTACATATTATGGGATCCTCTGGCTCAATTTGAATCGGTTTACAAAAGTGATCAATTATTATGTCCTCTATGCGCAGCCGATGGCCTATTGTCCAATCCTCTTTTTCGATCTGCCGAATGGTATAATGGAAGGATAAGCCGTGTAAATCCCAGGGCACTATTTGGTACTCATACTTGCACGCTATTAGTTAGCTCAATTTATAAATGCGCCAACGGTCATCAAGTTTCGGCCTGCCACGCAAATATTTTGGAAAGATTAAGTAGGATAATCCACATTCCGTTCCTCTTAACACACAAAAATGGTTTTATGCTTGACCTAGTCATCCTTGTAGATGATCTTATTGATTCTGGATTAAGTTTTGAGCAAGTGGAATCGCTAATAAAAACGCAGTATAAAACAACGTATGATATATTTTCAAATTGTTTTTGGCAAGATTTAAAGCTATCACAGCAAAATGGTATTGTATACGACAGAAACAAGGTATATTTCCCCGAGTTTTCTGGTGTAAATTTTCCTTGCCCAGGAAATGATATCTTGATCGACATTTTTTTGAAACGGTTCTTCCAAAATGAACACATATATACGAATTCCATGGAAGCATTGTCAGCTAACATGATTTCATGCGATCACACTTTCAAAAGTGCTTGCAATATTGGCTATAAAAGAACTGAGGATGGATCTTGGATTAACCAATACAACTCAGTATTTTGCATACTCAATGAGCGTAGTGAAGTTATTCATTGGCAATTCACGAAATATGAGAGTTTCTCTAAAGTTAGAGATATGTTTTTCGAAATCAAAGAGCGTACGAAAGGCGCAGGATTGAAGATGATATGTTTAGATAACTGTTGCAAGTGGAGCTCACTCTTAGGTGACATTTTCCCAGAAGCCTCAATCAAACTAGATATCTTTCACGCTGTTCAGAGATTTGTGAAGACATTGAAAAAGAGAGATCCAATTCAAAGAGATCTTGCATCAGATTTTAGTATGATTTTTCGTGATCCCCAAGACTTGGGCGACACTCGGCAAATGATGACACCCGCAAAGGACATACTTATTTTGAACTTGCAAAATTTCATAAAAAAGTGGGAAGTCAAGTGTCAAATGGTGTGAAACTTGTTAGTCCTGAACGTTTGGGTGTTATTTCCAACATTCGTGGGCATATTCTTAAGGGCTGCTTAAGTGAAATACCTACACACTATTCAACTTCCACAAATGAGCGACTTCACAAAGAAATAAAAAAGCTGCTTTCGAAGAATCGTATGGGAACACCGCTAGCTTATGCCAAGTTTACACGCTTTTTCTTCAAGCACAATCAGAAATGTAGAGATTTTGATTCAATCTACTCTTTATCCGCGAAGGCGCGAAAGCTAGAGACTTTTCAAGGAGCAAAAGGTGAAGTTGACGCGAATCCAGCTATTTCGTATTGTTTTGGTATCAGACCAAAAGCGAGAGAAAGCGCAGAGTTACCTTCAGCTGGCGATCAAGCGTTGGAAGAGTCAAACCCCAAGGCGCAATATACGTTAGATAAGTTGACTCCTGCAGTATTGGACGACATCAC